CCTGCTTCCAGGTTCCTGCCCTGAGTTCCTACCTTGGGCTCCCTGATGAACTACAACCTGGAGAGGTAAGCTGAATAAACCCTTTCCTCCCCAAGTTGGTAGTGGTCAGAATGTTTTGTCACAGCAATGGAGAAACAAACTAGGACACTTTGTGAACTATATTATTCATATCACAACATAGTTTATAAAACTACAGTATTAGAATAAATCTTATGGAATACCTGATATATACAAAAAGTTGTTCTATGGATTATATGTGGGTGACCTAGAAATATTCTTGATTATCTAATAAGGATGAAAAAATATTATCCTTTCCCTGAGCTACATAATTTGATTATGTTAGTTGACATTATAGATACAGAACAAACATGTAAGCACTCTGCATCCCTGGAATGTAAAAGGTTTGATAATCATCTAGGATTAGGTGTTCAAAGTAGATTATAAATGAAAGAACAGAAAAATTTAAGTAAAAAAAAAAATTCCATACCTTAAATGTAATGCTATTTTATAGTTGCGTTTAGTTTTTTTTTAATTTGTCAAGAACTCGTGACATATTTTTGTAAAACAGGAAAGAATTACACAAAGAATGATTGTGTTTATATTACGTTATATAATTTAGATTAATAGGTGACAGGATTCAGAGCATTTTTATTGCAAGGAGTGGATAAATATCTGATTATAACTAATTTTTTTACTATAACTAATTTAAGTAGCTAGTCTTATAGCTATACAATGTATAAATGTTCAAAGGTATTTCATTGTAACTCATAAAGTATTCATATTTTAATTATATTTTTCATTATTCTTGAAAACTATGTTCAAGTGTACTCCTTCCTTCCTTCCTTCCTTCCTTCCTTCCTTCCTTTTGTGACAAAGTCACTGCATTAGTCACTTTTCTCTTGCTGTGATAGAAACACTGACCAAAACAACTTATAAAATGAAGAGCTTATTTGTGCTTATGGTTCCAGGGGAATTACAGTCTGTCTCGGCAGGGAGGCATGGAGGCAAAGGTGGCTGGAGGAGGAGCAGCAGAAGCTAATAGGCTCTACATCTTCCAGCAGGTACAGAAAACAAGAGAGCAACTGGAGATCCTGTGAGGCTTAAGAACTCTCTACACCTACCCCCAGTGATGAGCTAGCCTTGAATTTCTTATGAAGTTAAGGATTGCCTAGATGTCACAGAGGTCAACTCTTCTCTGTCTCTACATCTGGAGTAATGGGTGCCACCACCTCCAGCCCTGTTTTCTTTTTCTGATAACACACCAAGTCCAATTTTGACTGTACTTTTTAACCTGTAAATAAAAAGAACTCTCTACACCTACCCCCAGTGATGAGCTAGCCTTGAATTTCTTATGAAGTTAAGGATTGCCTAGATGTCACAGAGGTCAACTCTTCTCTGTCTCTACATCTGGAGTAATGGGTGCCACCACCTCCAGCCCTGTTTTCTTTTTCTGATAACACACCAAGTCCAATTTTGACTGTACTTTTTAACCTGTAAATAAAAATAACATATAATAAATATAATTTTATAAGATTTATGAGAAATAGAAAATGGAAGCGAAATAAAACAAATTATATATAAAAGGAGTCTTAATTAACTGAAGAAATTTAAATTCATTTGAGGGAACAGAAATGATAGTGCTACTTTGATATAAAGTTTGGGAGTTTCTATTCAATGAAGCATACTTACCATATGAAGAAATACTACAAATCCTAGATGTTTATTCAAATGAAACTAAACCTTGGCTTACACTAAAATATTAGCCACTAATTAAAGTTGATTCATTCATGACCATTAAACACTGGAATCTGAAATACGACCTGATACAGGAAATGGCAAAAACATAAGGAGAGTTGATACTGAAGAGTGCAAGTCCACAATAAAAGGAGAGCATCACTGCAGTGCTCACAAGAAGCCAGGCAGACCTATATCATTTATGCTAAGGAGATATGACGTTAATCCAAGACCACATGTTCTAGAATGCTAGTGAAAGACATTTATGAAAAGGCAAATGATGTGGAAATGTTGTTACTGGTTGTTACTGGTTGGTGAGTATGGGAGAAAAGTTGACTACAAAGAAGCTGAGGAAAGAAGTTAAGATAATTTAAAGAATTGTCATATAGACTCATCTATTAGTAATTTACAAAACACATGCACATACTCAAAACATTGTACTTGGTCCTCAAAGGAAATTTGTTTCTTCCCCAGAAGGAAAAGAAGAAGAGGAGCTGTGGCTGATCTTACGGGATGGCATCCCCTGAGAGTCCCATTTCTTCATAATGCTCTTCTGGCTCCTGCACAGTAATTCATGAAATACAACATGACTCTAGGTGAGTTCTCATTTCAGGAAGAAGCTCGAATCCTAGTCTCTTGATCATCCTCAATTCCTGTCAATAGTGAGGAGTTCCAATGAGCCTGCAAATTTAAATATGATAATAATTTATACATTTGCTTTAACTTTCAAAGTAATGGCTACTGGATATTTATTTACTTTATTCTGTCTATTATGTGGAAGAGGTAAACTTCTTATGCTTATTTTGTAGTTTAAGAGGAGATTAGTAACTCTTCCAAGGACCTTCCCTTCTGGACTGTGAAGCCTTGGAACCATTGATCATTACAACAGTTAGAGAACCCTCCTAAGGCCTAATTGATGACTAATCTATGGCTTAATTTCTGACTTCAAGGTCACTTCTCAGTTCTACTGCATATTTTCAAGGAACAAAATAAGATGATATATTCAATATATAGTTTTACTGAAAATTTTAATCCATGCCAAAGCACTGAGGCAGCTATATTTAATATGACATATGAAGCACAGAAAATGGACACTTTGAAAACTTTTAAAATTTATTTATTTTAATTTTATGTGTATAAGTGTTTTGCCTGAACATATGCAGAATGCCCATGTACAGCAGAAGAAGGCCTTTGATTTCCCAGAACTATAGTTACTGGTTTGTTTTCCAGCGTTTGGGTGCTGAGCACCAAACTCAGGTACTATGCAAGAACAGCCAGTGAGTGCCCTTAATTTCTGAGCCAGCTCTCCAGCACCTGAAAAACTTTTCTTAAAAAATGAAGTGAGGGTCTCAAGAGATGGTTCAGTTAAAGCATTTGATGTTCTTTAAATGACCCATTTCCCACTATGTTGGGCAGCTCACAATCTCCTGTAACTCCAAGGATAGATCTGACACCTTTTTCTGGGCTTCATGGGTACTTGCACAGATGCAGTGCATACATATACACCCATAAATATAAAAAAATAAAAATACTGATGGGAAACATGGCTGTAAATGTCAAAAATTCCATCAGTAGGGAGATACATATTTTTTCAGAAGTAGCATTTCGATAACAACAACAATAAAAAAGGGTTGGCAGAAATCAAAGTATATGTAGTAATCTGGCTTATTAGGCTGGGCTTTATTCTGTTAGCTTGACATTGGAGATAAATGTAAAAATCAAACAGTAGAATGAGCTCTATTTGAGCTACAGAAGAAACAAAAGAAACTTGAAAGTTCCAACTCTTTTCTACTGCTTTCCCAATACCTTTATTCTTATCATTTTAACACCTCTGTACATCCTAACAGTGCTGTAGCTGAAAGCACAGACTACAGAGTAGATGCAACTGGAATTTAAACTACTCTTCTTCATCATTGGATATGTAATTGTGGAACATTTAAAACTTCCAAAATACTCATTTTCCTTAAAGGTAAAATAAAAATATCTACACGTGTTTGCCCCTCTCTCTCTCTCTCTCTCTCTTTCTCTCTTGCACACACTTATATGGAGATCCCTTGGTACTGCAGTGTACCAAGTACATGATGATTATTTCTGTGTATCAGCTTAGTAAACACAATGCCTTCAGAGTGTTGGTTTGTAAATTTTAATGAGTAAGATTGTAGGGAGTGTTTCACCTTGCACAGCTGCCATCTAAAGACTTCTTATTTAAACAAAAATCATGAAAATACTGTTCTTACATAAGAATAGATTCAAATGAATTCTTAATTTTTAAAATTTCATTTTTTAGGGGCTGGAGAGGTGGTTCAGTGGTTAAGAGCACTGACTGCTCTTGAAGAGGATCCGGGTTTGATTCCCAACACCCACATGGCAGCTACGAATTATCCTCAGAGGGAATCTGAAGCCCTCTTCTGACCTTCATGGGCATTGCATGACACGGGTGCACTTACATCCATGCAGGCAATACACTCATAACCATAAGGTAAAAATAATAAATAAAATATTAAAATTTTATTTTTTGACAAACAACAATTAAATTATTGATACTTGGTTCAATGTGATATTTTAATACATCCTTACAATATGGAGTTTCCCGCATAAATAGTCTATAGATTAAAGTCAATTTGTACAATATGGACTTTCCATAAATTCAATGTTTGAACATGGAGAGTTACTATTGAGAAAAATGAATTCATATGAAAAATGGAGACTATATATAAGCTACATATATGAATTTCAAGAGCCCATTTATCCTTAAATTCCACTAGATACCTCACAATTATTTCACTCTGAAACTCAAACCAGATTTTAGACAAATTAAAACAAATAGCAACTAAATTGAGCTAAAACAATGTAATTCATATATGAAAATAAGCATTTTATTTGGTAACAAGACCACTTGTATCTGAATATTTGTTTGCTATTAGCATTTCTATTCACATGAATAAATTACTTATGAAAGTAAATTAACTTACGGATGACAATTTAAATGGCAGCAAACACCATGACCTAAATTTTGTGATTAAGCTGAATATGAACAGGAATGTGAAATATATGTTGTTGCTTTAATGAAAAGCATGCACATGATTCACAAATATTTCAACTTTAGGACAATGTCCTTCAACATTTATCAACACTAACATTATTATTACAGAGCATTTATTACCAATATTATGCAAGCATTTCAATTTTAGGAAAATGTCTATTCTGCAACATTTATTGACATTATTTCTCTTCATTACAGGGCATCTCCTGATTCCCAAATAACACTGATGGAAAATAGAACAGAGGTGACAGAGTTCATCCTCCTGGGACTAACCAATATCCCAGAACTGCAGGTTCCTCTCTTTATCTTAATCACTCTCATCCACTCCATCACTGTGGTTGGAAACCTGGGGATGATTGTGCTGATTTTCTTGGACTCTCGGCTCCACACTCCCATGTTCTTTTTCCTCAGTAACCTGTCTTTTGCGGACTTTGCCTACTCCTCAGTTGTCACTCCCACAGTCATGGCTGGGCTCCTTATAGGAGAAATGCTTATCTCCTACAATGCATGTGCTACTCAGATGTTCTTTTTTGCATCTTTTGCCACAATGGAAAATTACCTCTTGGCTGCAATGGCCTATGATCGCTACAAAGCAGTGTGTAAACCCCTGCATTATGCCACCACCATAACTCCAACTGTATGTACATGTCTGGTCATGGGTTGTCATGTCGGTGGTTTCCTAAATGCTGCCATTCACATTGGTGAAACATTTAGTCTCTCTTTCTGTTCATCCAATGTGGTCCATCACTTTCTTTGTGATGTTCCTGCAGTCATGGCTCTATCTTGCTCTGACAGACATTTTAATGAGCTGGTTCTTGTTTATGTAGCCACTTTCAATGTCTGCTTTTCCCTTGTAGTAATTTCAACATCCTACCTATTGGTATTTATCAACATCCTAAAGATACACTCGGCAACAGGATACCAGAAAGCTTTGTCCACCTGTGGCTCCCACCTCATTACTGTCTCCATTTTCTATGGGACAATCATTTTCATGTACCTACAGCCCAGCTCCAGTCACTCCATGGACACTGATAAAATTGCATCCGTGTTCTACACTATGGTTATCCCCATGCTGAATCCTCTGATTTATAGTCTGAGGAACAAGGAGGTTAAAAGTGCATTCAAAAAGATTGTTTTGGGGGTGAAATTGTCTTTAAAATTTTAAATTTAACATTGTGGGTTGAAAAATATCCTAACTTCAAGTCTTTCACTGCTTCATGTTCTGAATCCCATTTAAGATCCTCCAAAAGTTTCTAAAGTAATAAATTTACTTCTTCACAAGTTTGCTTTATTGTCTCCAGAAACATAATGTGGGACCAGGAACCATAAACCATCTTGGATCTTACAGGCCAAAAGTTTATTAAAGCTGTTTGACTATTTTCATCATGCTACATGCATTTTTTTGAGGTCTACCAAACACATGTTCAAAAATGCTTGTAAAACAATGGCATTATTGAGCTCATTAGCATAACTTTATATATGTTCAAAAGTATATACAGATAAGTGTGAGAAATTTCTTTACATAAATTAATGTGGCTAATGTTTGATAAGAATTATTTAGGAATTAAATGGGGTAATTAAAGATTAACTTCTGTCTAATATTGTTTGGTCATTTATTTCCATTTTTCCAGCCCTAATTTGACAGTGAAAGTCATAACCTTTCAAATGAAATTAGTTGCTGTCTAAATTGGCACATTGTATCTAGAGAGTAATAAATATTGCATCATACATGATAGTATTTCTTTATTAACTGGTTAATTTTATAAAACAACGGTTTTATTTTGGAAATTTCACAGAATTAAATAGTAATGCAATGGGGAGAAAGAGGGTCCCCCAGAGGGTTCTTAGTGTCATTCATAAAAGAATATAAGAATAGGCCTAAACAGATGCTTTTACGATTTTATTAGAATTTAAAACCTAATATCTTCAGGGCAGGTGAGCTGGTAATCTTGGCAGCTACCTTGAGGAGGAGAATGGAGGGGAGAAGGAAAGAAAGCCATGAAGCCATGCAGGTTTAGAGCCTGTATGTGGTTCTGCCACATGGCTGGGAGAAGGAAGCTTTAGAGAAAATGTGAAGGAGTACAAGATTGTTGGGGTAGCCCAAAGCCTTAAAGAAAGCATGTTTAGAAAGAAAGCCATGCAGAAGAAAAGGAGAGATTCTGCTTTTACAATTTAGAAAAGTGGAAAGACTTACAGACTATATGACTCTAGCAGGTCCAGAACTTCTGAACTATGAGGTGTGATTGCAGGCAGAAAAAGTTCACTACCTCATTAATGCACCAGGTATTCTGTCCACCTATTTAGCATAACTTAATGTGAACCTGTCTTCCTAGGGGTGGTGTTATGATCAGATGGTTGACCAGTGAAACTGGAAAGTTGAGTCTTCCAACAGATACACTTGGAGATTTTATAGTCTTGACCAGTTAAACTTATGGGGCTTTTTGCTACTCTAAACAGTAAGAGTATCAGAAAAGAAAAAATTAGAAACTACATTATTTAATGCAGTTGCATCAACTATGAACTTTCACACTATTTTGAACACTCACTGATATAATGCTGTACATTTTGTTATGTAAACACTTTTTTACTTTTCCTTATGCTCATTGACATATATGAGTATAAATAATTTTTTACGAAATACTGGGGTCCTCTATGACCTTTTCATAGATGTATACAATGCACTTTTCCCCCATTCACTGCTCTTCACACTCCTCTCCCTGTACCTCTTCTCACTGTTACCCTGGCCCCTCAGACAGTTCTACTTTACTAGTCTATCATTGTAGTTGAGGTTTATTTCTTCCTGTCACTCCTGTACTCTTTTTCTTTATGTCTTTCACTAATTTTTGTTCTTATTTGTTTCATCACCACTCCAAGCAGGGCCTTTGCAGTTGCTGTGTGGTCTCTGTAGAGTGGACAGACTTAACTTTAGGTCTTTGCTTAAGTGTCATCCTGTAATAAAGTCTTTCATTTATCACCATTATAAAGCAGTCCCTCTCCTGTCACCAAGTAAACTGTCTCCTCACCTTGCCTTCATCTTCATCATCCTATCACTTAATGCATCTATTGGATTTTTTCCTTTGTTCATGCAGTTTTCTTAACTAAAATTTAAAACCTATTACTCTAGTGGTTTATCTCTTTGCATAATTTTCATTTTTTTATTTACTACTTTTTATAATTTTATTGAATTCTTGTGTAATTCATATGCAACACATTAATCATTATTTATTATTTTTATTTGTATTGCATCCATGTGTGCAAGTGCATCTGTGTCATGCATTGCCCATGGAGGTCAGAAGAGGGTGTTATATTCACATGGAACTGAAGTTAGATATGGTTATTAACTGCCATGTGAGTGCTAGGAATAAAATCCTAGTCCTCCATACCCCCATCTCCTGATTTTAAATCCCAAATAGCATTCCAGAGTTGATTCTAATATTTGTTAAATAAATGAATCAAATGATTACATTTTAGGTTACTGTATCAATAAGTTGAGTATTTGAACTATTGATTATTACAGTGCATTATCCATAACATAAACCATTTTGATATACTTCTAGAGAACTTCAAAAGTTGATCTCATTTTTCTCTTCAATGAAATATTTTATCTGTATTTTTTCCAGCTCTGGCCTTGCTCCTTTTGAACATTTTAATTTCCTGGAACTCTCATCACCAAGTATGTTCCTGAAACCCTCTTAAAATTTATGTTTAGAAATAATGTATCATTAATTGTCAAATTATATATAAAATAAATATTCTTTAGTAATCACTAAAAACATTAAAAA